TTTCTTAATAAACTTTATTCTACGTACACTTCATTCGCTGTAATGTAGGGCAGTGATATTAAATGCAATTAAAAAAAACAAACATGTTATACGTACCTGCTCTGTAGAGTGGTTTTGCACAGAGCAGCCCCAATCCTCCGCTTCTCAAGTCCCCCACTGGCGCTCCTGGCCCCTCCCTGCTGCTGAGTGCCCCCAGACCAAACAGCTTTCTATAGGGGCACTCAAGCACGCTTGCACCTGAGGCAGTTGCTCTGTGTGTCCATTCACACACAGGGCCATGGCTCAGCCCCGCCCCATCTCTCTCCTCATTGGCTCACTGGCTGTGATTGACAGCCAACGAGGAGGGAGAGTCCCCGGACAGCTGAGGCTTTCATGCACTTCAGATTGCAATGGGGCTCAAGTATGTATTGGGGGGGGGCAATGCACACAGATTGTTTACCTTCATGCCTAGAATGTATGAAGGTAAAAAAAAACCTTGAGCCTTTACAACCACTTTAAGCTTTGACAATAAAACCTAGAAGCTGATTGGTTACTATGCACAGTTTCACCGTATTCTGTGTGCACCAAAATAGTAAATCCCTACCAATATATATTATATTGCTATAATTCGAATAGAAGTGGTCCTGATTCAATTCAAACTCTATCCAAAACATTTTTATGCTTTAGAGCAAGTAAAACATTACAAACTCTGTCAGGTGTCTTTTTTATCGCTGTTCATATCCCCTTTGAGAGATTGTTTTGCTCTTCCTGTCCTGGTGACATGCAGGTCATTACTGTAGGCTCAATTTTTTGCCTGCCCTTTCTAGTGCGCCGTAGGGACTGTTATCTATGTCACTGGGGTGTAATGGAATGCTGGCCAAAATTAATAGCTATACAATAAATATTACAAAAAATAACGTACTGTACATGAATAGATAATCAAACATTACCTTCTGTGTTTACCTTGAACATTACCACATACAAAACAGAATTTTCAAACCATTCACAAAAAAATTGTGCATTAGTAGAATACTGTAAATTTCCTTTGTTGCAGCTTCATAAAAATGTAATCAATTTATGGTCAGGTTTTAAAAATTCTCACATTTAATATAATTTTCAATTATACCTTATGATTTGGGCAACCATATCTACTCAGTATATCAGGATATATTAGCTGTGACCATTTAATTGATTATAAAAAAAAATGTTTGCTTACCTATACATTAGCAGCTGTTGTCACTTTTAATGTAGTCCCTTTGTGACACACTTTTCTAGACGACTGTGGAACGCTGTGCAGTATGTTTGCTGCAGCTCTCTAGATGTCTGAAATGCCATCAAATCTGTGTTCTTTTAAATTTTGGAAACAGCCAAACGTCACAGGGTGCTAAGTCAAGGGAATAAAGTAGTTGCTCAAGTTTTGGAATGGATTTCTGAGCCAGGAACTTGCGACCACTTAGCACATTATGTGCAGGAGTATTGCAAGGAGAATCCACTTGTCAGGCCAGAGTTCTGGTCTTTTCCTTCAGTTTCCTGTAACCTTTTAATTTTCTACGTTTGCAACAATCCTTTGTGTTTTTGGCAGCCTGGTTCTTGCCTCATTTTTTACATCTTCCCACCCCTCTTTAACCAACCTATACCATTCAAAAACACTTGATTTCCTCATGGAATGTTCACCGCAAGCCTGTTGTAACAGAGCTAAAGTTTAACTCTCACTTTTGTCAATTTTTACACAAATTCTGATGTTAGTCTGCTTCTCAAGATTCCTGTCAATCATTTTCTGCCACCAGCGCAGTGCGCACACGTGTTATTTCTTCTACTACTCCATAAAGACTGAGTCACCTGGTCTGTGACCCAAGTGAATGCAAGTTAGAACATGTCAGAACACAATTGAGTGCCAACGGCTGTGTGACTCATAGTCACAGTGCTATGTTTCAGGCAATCTGGGAATTAAATTGTCACACCTCGTACACAGGTTTTACTTAGAAACCAAAAGTTGTGCTTTAATGCTCCTTCTAAAAATCCGAATATGATCCAGAAGACTGAAAAAATGTACTTCCTGTTATTTCTTACCACTGAGCGCTCCCTCTGGTGAGTAATTTGCAGATTACTATATTTAAAAGAACACAGAAATATAGAAACACAATTATGTAAAATGAGAAAGTAATAATAATAATAGAAAAAACTTAAAACAAATGTGTTTCTCCTACAGGGAAAATAAATCAATTTTAGTGCCCCCCAACAGCACATACTCCCTTTTCTTCTGTTCCCCCCCATGTTCCATTCACATGCCAGGAGTGAAGAAAAACAGCCGTGAGTAATGTCCAAGTTGTTCTAGCTGGAACACCATCACTGTCACATATGAGAAAGGGAGGCAAGTCATACAGCTGAACTGAATAGCGGGGGAGAAAAGTAATATAGAGTATATGCTGCTGAAGAGGAGGCATTAAAACAAACCCATTATTTTTCCCCGATATGGGGAATGTTTGCCAAACATTGGCATAACTCGAAATATGTACTTATTGAAAATACACTATACTTTTATTAAATATGTGCTAGTTGGCGACAGAAATACCCTATTGTCATAGATGATAACAGTACACCAAAAAAAGCAATGAGGTTGAAACACTCAACAAGTGTTCCAGATTATAATACAGAACATAATTATATACACTTAAAATTAACACAATTATGATTAGAGGGATTGCAGAAAATTCATAAAGTGATAATTACAGTCAAGATTATATACAATAACATAGCTTACCAGCAGGGAAATTTGTATAATGTCGCTATATATGACTGAAAGTGTGATTACATATGGGAACAAATTCATATATCTAAATCAAATCAATCTTATCATAAATCAGGAAGATCCAATAAGTTTCTAATTCATAGACAGTTTAGTACAGTAATATTATACACACACACAAAGACAGTGTGCAGGAAAGTGTACAAGCTGGTATAAGACCACCGGAGGCAACAAGGAATAAGGGTCTACAGTGTTACCTCTGGAAGTGGCTCCCACAAAGGTCTGTAATTACTCCACACCCCATGGAACCATTGTATATTTGTTTGTAAACTAGTGATAAAAGTGATCACATAGCCCAGTGCTAACAGCGTTAGAGGAAGCATTGTTTTTATCATGGTCACTACCCAGCACTTAATTGATTCCTGGACCCCCTAGTCCAAATGTGGTCCCTAGCACTGTATTGTGACCTTACCATTCATTCTAAACCTCCTTCAACCCACAAAACATGGACATTTCATGGTTACTCAACGTTGGACTGCAGCTCATGCACTCTTGACCAGTCTAACCATCGCTGTTCTTCTACTTTTATTAAGAGGTGAACAAAGGCACCCTGAATCTTTTAAAATTCTTATAATATTCCTGACCTCAAATCACTGTGTAATTCATTGGTTCTGTATAAACACCTTTAACCAAATTACACACACACACACATATATACACAGTATATGTGATATATATATATATATACTGTGTATATATATATATATATATATATATATATATATATATATATATACACACACAATTTCTTATTTTTAAAACTACTTGAGCTCCGGAAGATTTTACCTCCTTCATGACCAGGCCATTTTTTGCTATTCGGCACTGCGCCAATTTAAATGGTAACTACTCGATTATGCAACACTGTACCCAAACAAGATTTATATAATTTTGTTCACACAAATAGAGCTTTCTTTTGGTGGTATTTGATCAACACTGGGTTTTTCATTTTTTGCAATAGAAGCTAAACAATAGCCTGAAAATTGTGAAAAAAACCCACAATATTTCTTACTTTCTGATATAAAACAAATTTTGGCCAATATGTATTCTGCTATATGTTTTTGATTTTAACCTCTTCACGCCAGCCGCACACATATGTCTGGACCTAGACGCTGAGCGGCCGCACCTTTGTGTGCAATTAAGAAAAACATATGTGCTGAGAGTGCGCGCCCTGTGCGCTCCCAGCACACACGTCCGGTACTCACGGAAAGGTCCCGATCTCCTGTTTCGATCGGGACCTATCCCGATCTTGTGACAGTGAATCACGACGGTCACATGACCCTAAAACCCTGCCCCGCCTCCCGGCTTCTGAAACCCTTAAAGAGCCGAGAGGCACCAGCACCAAGGGGTTAAAAAATCCCAAAAAGTGTATATTGATTGGTCTGCGTGAAAGTTATAGCACCTACAAACTATAGTATATATACTGGAATTTTAATTTTGTTTATACTACTAATGGCAACGATCAGAGACTTATAAAGGGACTTCAATAGTGCGGAAGGCAATTTGACACTAACTGATGCTGGGGGGAACGGAAAAACTGCCACTGATGTCACCAGTGACATTAATATCATGATAATACTTTGTACTGTCACTGTACTAATTGCTCTGGCTGGGAAGGAGTAACATCTACGGCGATCAAGGGGTTAAATGTGTGCCTAACAATGTGTAATGTGTGTAAAGTGTCCTGCTGCTACTACTGTCAGATACTACTAGATCTGACATATTGCTGACTCTGTACAGAGCTCTGTGTTGTTTACCAGCACAGAGCTCTGGGCTGTGATTGCACAAGCTGATCAGTAGGTCCCAGCTGTGAATCATTAGCTGGGACTTGCTTACAGGCTTCCGCTGTGTACTATCACAGTGGGCACCAGTCGGAAGTGTCTATGCGTGCACTCTAAACCTGGAAGTAGGCAGCGTTGTATGGGTGCCTCACTTTGCCTACAGCGGCCACTCGCCCGCAGTACATTGAAGGCGGGTGATCGCCAATTGGTTAATCCACTTACCCATTAAAGCCTTTATATATATGGCCTGGACTTTAAGAGCTTTGTACGGTTTTTTTCCATCAGTGACTGGCTTCTCAGTAAAAGTGATCCAAGCAACTGTTGAGGTGCCCAATCATCCCTGCAACTAATAAACTCAGAAGTGCTGAGCATTTAGTCACTTCCGGATTCAGAGCTGTTATTCTCTGGCTGCTGTAGCTGAGGAAGCAGGTAATCAAGTACGACCCAGGGGCGGACTGACCATTTGGAAACTTGGGCACTACTCGAGGGCCTGGGGTCTGTAGGGGGCCCCATGAGATGCCCCTGGTACCTTTTTCATTGGCTTTTTTGAGTTTGGGCAAGGGCACAGGGGCCCCATGATCCCCTATTGCCCGGGGGCCCCATGAGTTGTCAGTCCGCCCCTGGTACGACCTGTCCATGATTAGCTGCAGTGGAGAGCAGAGGTGACATTTGTGGTCTGATAGATCCCTGATGCTTCTAAAAAAAAGTATCTGTCACCTGCCCATGCTATCACATAAGGGCTTGTTAGTCCCTCTTGCGATAGCAATTAATTTAAATTTAAAAAATACCTTAATAAAGTGTAAAAAAAATTAAATAAAAACTACCAAAAAAACTTAAAAGCAACCACGTTGCCCCATAAACACATTTGAATGCAAATTTGTGTGAAGGGCGCGCATGTGTATGCAAGCATCAATTGCATAACACATATGTCATTTTCAGACCATAATTCACCATTAACTCTAACTCTAAACTGATAACCTGTAAAAGCTTTTAAAGCATCGCACATAGACAATTTTGGATACCAGAGTTTTTTACCATGTCGCTAGCATGTCCAATTTAAAAGAGGAACTAAAGCCTCCTAGTCTTTACAGAAAAGGAAGCTGCCAACGTAGCCATTTGATGGCTTTACTGTTCGGTTGAGAGCTAACATAAGCACACTAATAACAATTTTCATTCAAGCATGCCTTGAATGGAACTGTTTTTGGAAACAGTTAAATTGGTGGATTTATTTCCACTTTAAGGCTTGGCATGTTTGGTATCTTCTTGTGTTTGTGTGCACTAAAAATTCATTTTAGTGTATTTTTTTTTTCCTTTAAATGTGGGAGTGATAAACATTTGACAAAATATTGTTTGTCATGCAAAATTGTCAAATGCATAAAGAACAAAGCCTGTGGGACTTTCAAGGGACATACCAAAAATAAATAGTAATATTTTATTCTGGTAACAAAAGAGCTTTATTGGCATATCGAAGTAAAATGTACATTGATGCAATGAGCGTTAACAAATAAAATATGTTTGAAGTGAGGCAATAACATGGAACTACGCAGGGGTCACAGGCAGTAATAGCTTAATAAAAGGGTTGCCATTGTGGTCCAGCACAATAAGGATAAGGTCGCCTATATTATGAGTTGAAGCTTAGGTTGCATGGTATGCATCTTCCCAATGGTTGGGCATGCATGCCTGGCTCATTGATCAGAAAAATGAGAGCAAACAGGAAGGTTGTCTTAAAAGCATATCACTTGGGTAACATATGAAAGAAAAGCAAAACCAGCGCTCAGGTCCATACATGTCCTAGGAACATGGTACCAGTCACTCGCTGAGGTGCAGCCCTCTAAAGATTGGGGAATCTTGATAATACCGAAAAAAAGCAAAAAAGGGCGGACTCTCCTCGTGCATTACCGTGATAAAAAAAGAATTAATTGAAAATGACAAAATTGCATACTCACAAACCAAGAGTCATAAATAAAAGCAAAGAAACCAATGTGACAGTCCCAGCAAATGGTGGTCTTGCGACAGGGTGTGCCAACACGCTTCGGGACACGAGCTCCCTTCCTCAGAGCTCTGAGGCTTTTATTTATTACTTTTGGTTTGTGACTATGAACTTTTATCATCTTCAATTCTTTTGTTATCACGGTAATGCATGAGGAGAGTGCGCCCTTTTTTGCTTTTTTTCCCCATATTACTTGGGTGTTTGATCATAAACATCAGACCTGGGTATGAAACTCAAGGAAATAGAGCAGAGGGAAGGTCCTCTTGTGGGTAATGGGAATAGAGAGCAAAGAGCTGATGGAAAGAGGATAAGGAGAAAAAGAGTAAGCATGCGAGAAAGAGAGGACCAGAAGACCAAAACAATTGTTCCATTCTCCAGGAAAAACGATCCTGGAAGTAATATTTTATTCAATAGGTCAAAATGCTAAAAAAAAGCATTCTAGAGAGATATGCATAGAAAATACAAAATTGCACCTACCACTATTTTAATCTACAGAGCCTCTACTTTCAAGAAAATATACAATTCTCTGGGGGTCTGAAGTCTTTTCCTAGCACAAAAATACAGATGTTAACATGCATGTGAAAAATCCAAAAATTGCCCTGGGCAGACAAATTGTAAAGCCATTGTTTCCATCACTTGGATATAATGATCCTGGACTTTGCAGAACACACAAAATGTCCTTTTTTTACCAGTAGGTTTTAGGATCCTGCAGAGTGTGGCTGAGAAGTCTTGAGGACAATAATTTGTTCCATTGTAATAAGAACTGTAAATGTTGGCATGAGTACCCTTCCCAGGCCTGCCTTCCTTCGCTAACGATCTTAATGCCTCCCGCTGGCCAACACAGACAGTGTGCTCATTTATTGCAACGGTCAACATTTCTCCCTCTCCTGCCAAATAAAAAAAAAAAAAAGTTTAAGGGGAGAAAGACTTAGATGATCATGTCAGGCAGGAGGGGTTAACTGAACTGCATTCAGGAAATTTCTCACATCCTGCATCCCCGTCCCCTGTAACTGTATATTATGGTGCTGTACTGCTCAGACAGCTGATGAAAGCTTTTTCTCAGTCAGGATAAGATGTCAGAACAGCTCAAGACAAAACAGCCGTTCTCTCTCCCAGTCCAGACACTTATACTGCTGATGTGTGCTAGCTGTGTTTTTTATTTCTTCCAGAGCACAAGGTAAGGCTTAAATACTTTTCTTGTAAACGCGCGCACACTTTGTATTGTTGCTGCCTTGGGCAAGTTTTATGTTCCTCTCAGAGAAAAAAAAAAGCAAAACTTGTACTTTGTTTTGCTGATTGCACTTACGGTCCCTATTGTTCTCCTGCCGTCGCTCATTCTCCACGCTCTCTCTGCTGTTTTCATGACTATATTTGCTCTGAACGCTGTCAGTAAACTCGCCGGTCTCTGTAGTGCAGTCCAATTCATTCCCTGTAGAAGTAGAGTACAGTCTCAGATCGTTTTCTGCTTGCAGGGTAGAAGTGCTGATAATGTGCGAATGAGGCTGCACTGGGGACTGGGGGAAGCCTGTGGCTCTGCAGCTTCTTTGAGACTTAACTGGAGTTTTAAGACCCGTACACACAATGAGAATATTGCATAAATGATCGTCCGCTTTTTGCATGCTAGCCTCATATCGAAGGTTACTAAAGTTTACGAAAGTTCTTGTGTGACAGAATAAAAATTCAGAAGTGATGTAATGTATTGTACTGTACTTATATTGTATTTGCGGACAATAACTGTACTGATTAAACAAAAATCATGCAATCTGGTCTGGTACAAGAAACATTTTCGTGCTTGTCCCTTCGAATGATTTTGGATGAAAGCTGTGTACTAACGATCGCGGTACTAACTAACTAGAGCGGTATTTTTCATACGATTTTCTGATTGCATGTACTAGCATTTAAGGTACCCATTCAATGAATGCGAAGAAGATGCAACATTTCCATATAGCATGGAAGGGTACTGTTGACTGTCAGGTGACAGCTATACAGAGGAAGATATTAATTGTCTCTTCCAACAGGTTACATGGCAGAGGTGATGCTTGCATTTACAACATTCCAGCGCCTGCAGATATGATCGGGTGTTGTTGCTAGATGCCTATATTAGGGGGGATTTGAAAAAAACTGGAGTACACAGAATCTGGTGCAACTGTGCATGGCAACCAATGGAGTTGATTTACTAAAACTGGAGAGTGCAGAATCTGCTGCAGCTGTGCGTGATAGCCAATCAGCTTCAAACTTCAGCTTGTTCAATTAAGCTTTGACAATAAAACCTGGAAGCTGATTGGTTTCTATGCAGAGCTGCACCAGATTTTGCACTCTCCGATTTTAGTAAATCAACCCCAATCAGATTCTAGTATTTATTATCAAAGCTTAATTGGACAAGCTGAAGTTAGAAGCTCACTGCTTACCTTGCACAGCTGCACCAGATTCTGTGAGCACCGTTTTCAGTAACCTCCCCCAACTGTCTAAGTTTGATGACTAAACTCATAATTCTAACATGTCTAATGTTGTCTCATAATTGTGCTGCAATCTGATCGTTATTCACACTTGTACCACCAGACAGCAGTCTAAAGTGGTCAAAATCGGTTGCATTCGCGTACAAGTCCTGCCTGTGTATGGTACACTTTACAAAGATTGCTGGAAGCAATAGGGCTACAACAGCCTGAGAGCATCAGCATGGCTAATCGTTACTTTTCATTTAATTAAGTAGATTGCAGTAATTTTGATTGGAGAGTAGAGTTACTTGTACTTTGGGGTTTATTCACATGATATAACAAATGCAAAATACAAGGTGAGGCATAAAACCGATGCATGGAAATGGAATATGTTCTCGTGAATTAGCTGCATTGCATCTTGTTGGGCTACATTTATTGGATGTGTTGTCCTGCAGTTCCAACTCAAATCAACTGAATAGAATCCAAATTCAATGTATGGGAATCTGCATGGCAATGAGTGGTAGCGCAACTCACATAGTCACATGTATTTAACCGTAAATTAACCTTCTCCATTTCTGTCTGAAGGAGTAGTTAAAAGAGAAGTATGGGTTTAAAAAAATAAAACCATCTATACTCACCTAGGAGGTTGCAGCAGTCTGATGCATCATCTGTCCTCCACCGCTTCTAAGACTGAGAACTGAGTGATCAAAGACTGCAGATCACTTAATTCTTGGTCTTCAGTGAGCAGAGAGCTGGTGACTATCAGTCACCAGTTTTCTGCTCTGTCCTTCCAGCACTCAATGGGCTGTAGAGGGGGCAGGAGCTGCTGGCTCAGGCCCTCATTAGCTGACTGAGAAGCTGAGCCAACTGCAGGTCCAGACATCTGGGTGGATCCTGATTTTAAAGTCAGAATCTTTCCTGAACCTGGAGTGGCTGAGTGATGTCAGCTGTCAGTTGTAAACAGGTCACAGAAGTGCATAACAAACTGCACTCTTGTGATTCCCAAAAGTACAGCCAAATGAGCTTTAAATATACTTCTCCTTTCAACTTTACAGTGTATCTTCATTGCTATCGCCATGGCCATTGATGTACATGGCAACTTTTACCTGATCAATGGAGAACAACAATGAATAATCCAGCTTAACTAAGGCTTTGAATGTTGACTTAATTTGCTGCAGCCATTTTCACTCCACATAACATCATATTGACACAGGGCTGT